CAAAGAAAGTCTTATTCTCATAATTAATATCTTGGGATGCAAATATTTCAATGCAAAGTTAAAGCTGTACCTCATGGTTGTTCTCCCCATTCTAGAATACTGTTGTCCCCTTTTTGGTCTTATGAACGCGTCTAACCGCAATAAGATTGAAATGAACCCGAGAGTGTTCACTCTAAAACTATTTTCTCTTTCTGGATTCAGTAATTCTTATACGGATAGATGTCAGTTAGCAATCATTACATTTCTGTGGGTAAGAAGATTCGAAGCCGGTTATGTTTCCTGTTTCTTGCTAACAATAGCCTTTATCTCCCACAAATAAACTCCCTTACTTCGGTAGACCGACCTTACACCACTTGTAACTCCTCCATGATAATTTCACCACCCTTTATTTCCACATTTAACTGTTCTCATTATTTTGCCTCCAAATATGCCTTCATCTGGGGTAATCTTCCACTCGAAATTAGGTTGTCGTCTACATTACCCATTTTAAAAGGCAAAGTACTCAAACATGTACATTTGGAGGAAGTAAATTACTTAGTGTCCGTTTCCTTCCCAAACACGCAACTATTGTGCTTTCAAAGGGGTCCTCCTGGCGTTTGAGTCTTTTCCCAAGATAGTATAGTGTTCCCTAAATATGTTTACATTTTCCTCTGCAGAGTCAAGCATCACTTGCAAATGATGCCAACTCTTCTCCTTTTTGCAACCCTGGCGGTGGTCTTTCAGGTCTCTGTTGATGGTCGTCGCGGGTTCATACGTTTTGGCCAACTTGTCGGTGGACCCCGAAGTCTGCTTCGCCGTATCTCGATAATGTTCTCGTGACTACTGCGGTCCCCTCCTCTTTTCGATTCTATTATCCTCGATGAGCTCCTCCTCTTTCACCCCCATGATGATATATGATTTTTTTTCCCAAGACAAGGAGCGTTCCGAATCCTAAACATCATGATCCCATCTCACTGCATCATATCATATCAATCTAACTACCTATTTAAGCTGTTTTTTTCTCCTATATTTTTTGAAAATCGGTGGCTTCTATGAGCTTTTACACTGCCTCTTTCTCAGTTCACCATATTTACTTAAGATTATTGACTACTATTTTAAAAGATGTTCCATTGTTAATCGGATCTGACTTAGTATGTATAACATACTACTCATTCCTGTTGTAAGACGGTTGCTTACGCGCAGCTGTGATTATCAACTTTGTACTTATTTTTACCACAGCAGTAAGTTTGTAATGAAAGGGCCCCTTGGGCCTTAAATACACAATTTATTAGTATAGGAGTGGTGTCCTTGAACTCCGTGTTGGACACGGTCGAAGAAGTCTTTTTCTTCAAGACACTTCATGGTGGTCTTTTTGGTAATCCGTTCCACAACTTTGCAACAAATTGAAGTTAGGCTCACTGATCGATAGTTGTTCGCGCTCGTTCAGGGTCACCGCCTTATTTTTCAAAATACTCCACTTTTAGAACGATCCAGCATAAAAGACTTAGGTCTAAGTTGCACAAATAAACTAGCATCATCGTCTCATGCGAATCGAATATCTGCGAAGGCTGCAAAGATATGTGGTTTTACAGTAGATTGCATATCTGATGCAAGGTTGGGGATAGGAGGATTTAACG